ATTTTTCTCAACAAAATAATCTTTCCATCCCTGTCATCATCTGAACTCTTTCCAATGTCAGTATATTTTCTTAGATAAGGAGACCAAAAGTATACACAATATTCTAATAACATCTGAGGCCTAGTTAGTGACTTTTATAGAGATAATTACCTCCTTTTACTTGTACTCAATATTCCTTTAAATACATATTAAATTTCTTTTCCTATTACTGCTAGCAACAGAACCTACCTCAATGTCTTTTTTTCTAGTCACAATAGTCAGTTTGTTCTCATCTACATTAAACATGATAAAATTATGGATTTTATATAGAAAAATATTTAAACTGGTTAGTGTATAAATGATATGACAATGAGTACTGATTTGCTGTATTGGTACTAGATGCTCAAAGTTTCAGCATTTGAGATTAGTGTCACAAACTGTTGAACATAGGCAAGTTTGATATTAGTCAGTGGTGATAGGAAGCATTAAAAAGTACATCAAATTCTTGCTAAGTATATTTTCCTGACTTTTTTCATTTCCATTCCATATGTCTTCTTTTTTCCCCTTTCGATTGCTTGATTATAATGTGTATTTGTATACTGTCACCTCTCTGCAGAACTAGTTATCATAACTATCACATCTTGCTTGATGTTTTATCTATATTGCCAATGATCAGAGTTGAACATCCTTTTAGTATTGAAATTAAGACAAATTAGCCACATGGCTAAGACCTTTTAGACCTTACTGCTAATACAGTGATGTTATTACTGTTACACATCTATGTATCAAGAGAGTTAATGACTTTACTCAACATGAAATAAACTATTAATCACTAGTGAAGAATATGGAATGCTGTTACATTACACAAACAACAACATAAGGTTCAGTGGTGAAAACAGTCAACAAAAAAAAAAAGAGATTACAAAATCTTTACTTACTACTAGATGATGTAATGGTTTTTTCTTCATTTTCCATTAGTTCCATATTCAATAGAGCATTTTGTTGTTCTTCATCATAAAAGGGTTCCATTTTTATTTCTAAAACCTCCATTACTGCATCAGTAACACTCATTTCATAATCAACTGAAGCCTAAAAACAAACAATTATAACTTTAAACTTTCTTAAAGGGCATTAACATTCAGTTTTACAAATTTATATTATCATGATGTTTTTTTACCACTAACAATTCTGAAATGTTACTTTTTAATATCTTTAAACTAAAATTTAGCATAAATGTTTTAGACATTTTAAGCTTGATCTTCAAGTACCTTATGTACGTAATGATTAGTAAATACATAAGGGCTGTACCTATAATCTAAGTTTTTCTTCAAATACCTCAGGTACATAAAGGTCTGTATGGAATATAACTGATCCAACTTGTATTTCTGAGTGATAATTCAAAGCAAACAGAAAAACTTCAGTTTATACTTTGACTATTAATATTTACGATCCAACATATTTTTAACTACAACATTATGTTATATTACAGAACATTCCAAAATAACTTAAACTGTCCAATACTTTACATTTAAAAGTATTTAGTTAAGGGTGTAAAGTATTAGGGTCTATAAGAATGGAACTTTGCCCACTCTTCAAACTTCTTTATTTACATATGTAGTGTTAAGCTTATCTCACACATGTTGCAAACCAGAAAACTGACAGAAAATTGCTTTTAATATTTTCTATAACTCACAAAAACAAATACTTGAGTTTATTTCAAGTGTTAAAGCAGTCACCTTAGTAAAAATTTGTTTTTGACAAATAACACATTTGACATGTCTGTTAACCACCAATCCAAGTTCAGTATTAAATGTTTAAAGCTTAATACTATATCTTTTAATATTTATCACTTTTTTATAAACCAACATACTAAACACTTAAGTTACTTAAAGATGGTTCTCACATTAAAATGTGGAAGCAAGGACTAACAATGGTCTCAAGTTGCATTTCCAGTTATATTCTTCACAACAGATTCTAAAAAACCAGATAAAGAAAAATGCTTAATTACAATGTTTTAATTTCTAATGTCTTCATAATCATTTTTTCAAATATAAATATGTACTACTTTCAGTTGTGTTTCATATCCTCAATAATAACAGATTTCTGAACTGCTCACAAATAACATTGGCCCTTTAACCTATGCAGCAATCAATGACTGTCATAACTTTGTACAACATGTATGTAAATAAGTTACACATTATGCACAGAAAAACCAATAACAAATTGGCATCTTGACCTCTAGCTCATTCCAAATAAGGTTTTTATAGTCTTATAACTGAGCTAGCCATGTAGTAACAGTGATATCTGACATGGAATAGTTACCATATATATATATATATATATAGTTGATTTCTGAAGTTACTAATTTATATATATATATATATATACAAGTTTAAATATCTAATCCTGAAAAAGGAAGGTGCAAAAAGAACAGATACAAGAAAGAGTTACTAATATTTTATAATACTATGCCAGTCCCTCCTTCACTCCTCGACCCTCCCAACATTGTACTTTCACCAAACTGAGAGGAATGGAGTGAAGGAGGGATTTGCACAGAGTATATTATTAGCATCTCTTTCTTGTATCTGTTCTTATTGATATAATATGAAAGCCTGTTTAATCACCAATGTGGTTTAAGGTATTGATAATAAAGGAAGGATTATTGAGAGTTTATTTTGTTATACCAACGTGTTTGTCCCTTCAGTTAGTATTAAATTTTGTGAAAAATTATGATCAGTGTTCTTTTAATGTTATTGTAACACGTTAATTTTGATTAATTAGCAACAAGACTATCACTAGGAAAGTTGGCAACATGAGGGCAGAGACAGTCTTCTGTTTAATAGTATTAGTTTTAAACTTTGTCAGCTAATACTGTACAAAATAATCCTGCATCTAGACAAGCTTCTTCAGCTAATACTGTACAAAAGAAAGCTGCATCTAGACAAACTTTGTCAGCTAATACTGTACAAAATAAACCTGCATCTAGACAAGCTTCTTCAGCTAATACTGTACAAAAGAAAGCTGCATCTAATGTAATTATCAAATGAAGTCTGAATAAGAAAAAGAAAAAGCTTCAAAAACCAGCTATGAAGCAAACTCTAAACACAAGAAAATGGCTTCTACATTGTAGATGAACTTAACAGGCTAATCCAGAAGAAAAGAGAGTGGATTCTAGTCAAGCTTATTCAACTAATACTGAACAAAAGAGAGTGGATTCTAGTCAAGCTTATTCAACTAATACTGAACAAAAGAAAGCTGCATCTTGACAAGATTCTTCAGCTAATACTGTACAAAAGAAAGCTGCATCTAGACAAGCTTCTTCAGCTAATACTGTACAAAAGAAAGCTGCATCTAGACTCCTTATCTTGCTAAAAGTATCTCCTTGTTATCTTGATATTTTATCTTTTTTTTTCCTCTTTATCCAAGCTCCAGAAGGTATTTTATATACATGTACTACTCTAACTCATTAGTAATCTTCTTATAATGGAGCTTGCAACGTATATGTCCAAAACTCAAATCTTGGAAACCACCACACCGATCATCACCAATCACAACTGGTTAACATTTTTATAACTAGGCAGTATTTTTATAGCTGAGCAATAAATAAAACAATTGAAATTTCCACAAAAATTATATGTTTCAGATTTAACCAATAAATATTACAAACAAAAATAAGTAAGTTTCAGATTTAACCAATAAAAATTACAAAAAAAGGAGTAAGTTTCAAATACAAAACAATAAAAAAAAACTTAACAAAATCATTTGTTTTACTTTAGTGAAAATCTCTTGAATGTTGTAACAGAAAAGCAAAGCACTTTCATTGATTACTATGCCTACAAAGAAATACTTCAATAAAATCTACTCTGTGATGTAATACTGTGACGATAGCTCATTTTAAAAATAAAATGTCAATAAAATTATTTTTCTCATGGATGGTGAACATTATTGAATGTCAGGTATGAGTACAATGTTGTAGAACTGTCAGACAATTCCAGAAAAGACCACAGGCCCAATAGCCTTCCTCAGGAACTAGTAGTTATACCTGCCTGGAGGGTGGTTATTTCTGCTAGTTTCATATAAAGCTGGGCATAGTTCTAAACAATGTTTAGTTAGTAGTATGCAACAGAAAACTCACCTACTGTAACACTAATGCAATGAAGTAACAAGTTAATATGGTATTTTGATTTGTTATCCTATGTCCACGCATGTATTACATCATATATTGCTTTTGGATTGGAAGCCTTGGGCCCTGCACTAGCTACTTGTTGCTATAGCAACTACAAAATCTTGTATTGTAGTGAAGCATGCCAACCTCAAAATCTCACCATTTAGACCTCCTATGTGGTTTAAGTATCCTGGTCACAAAATTCAATTAAACGACATTCAGAGCAGGATTATGAAAGTTTCACACCAAGAAACTACAGCAAACTGTTATTCTATTGTTGCCAAAACCTACAGCTGTAATAAGCATTATATAGACAGAATCTGCTTTTTCTATTGGTTAAAATATGTTCATCAGCTTAGTAACATTAGAGAGAGAGAGAGGAGAACGCATTTTCAGATGAGTTTGATATGCGAGTAAATCAAATAGATAGGAGAGTAAATGTGACATTACTGCTAATAATTATGCTTAGTTTTTCTAAGCAGTTGGAAGCTCTAGAACTTAGAAGCCTAATATTAAAGTCAGAAAGTTCTAATGCTGAGAATTCAGAGCCCGGTCACTTCACATAACGTATAAAAATAAAGATAATATTTTAAGGCTTCTTTTAGTTTAAAAAAAAATTAAAACAAGTCAAAACACAGATAATATGAAACTTTAATTATAAACTTTGTTTGCATCCCAAGTATACTGAGATACATTGATGATAATGTGGTTTAAATTAAATTCTGAACATAACGCTGTGAAGGGTCAAGAGATGTGCACTTTGACCCAGCAATAACGAAAGGGTTAAATATTCATAAGTTGTTGAAGCATAGAGTAAAAGCAACATAGACAATTTAATTTTAGAAAATTATAATTAAGCAACAATAATGAATATAAAAGGTTTTGTCACAATGACATGAATGCAGTTACTTTTTTGAAAACAGAAAACTGTAAATGTTTTTAATCTATAAATTACCTCACTCTTTCTTGTTAATATTACTTCATCACACTCGCACTTCTTTTCTTGTCCCTCTTCTGCTACAACACTGTCGTGTCAACAATCCCATGGACAACATGCGAAGCTCTTTTACATAACTTAAGGACAATGCTTCCAAAGTTGCCGAAAGTATTAATAACATATTTTTACCTTAACAGCACATACAGTGATGATTTAAACATACTAA